AATAAGGCTGCTCATTGAGTTAGGTGTATTGGGAATACAGAAGTGAGAAAAAATATCAGAATTGCTTTTAGTTAATATAAGTTTATCCTTACATTATCCTTATCCTTAAATTTATTGGCAGTCCTACCTGTTCTATCATTCCATCTTCGCTAAAGCATTGAAAGGCCAAATGCATAAGAGCATAAAAAAACTTAAGGGCTCATTATCTCATTGTTAGTAGCTGCTGAAGTCTAGTAGAGGATAATCTTCTTAAAACATAATTCTGATTACATTTTTTGTAACCATTGTGTGTATATTAGAATATATCAGTTTAGTTTGGTGTTGACTCTCCATCGTTATTACTCTGTCTTGCAAATACATCACATTTGGTGCCAAGGTGGGGTTGTCAAATTCCTTCAAATAAATTTGGTTTGGATAAGCTTCCAGCAAGCCATAGTTGCTGAGAATTTTTTTTTGAAATTCAGTCGTTTGTATGTGTGGGTGGATTGACCGTTCAATGGTGGTTACATCAACATTTATTATTGGGAGATTCAACATGATCAAAGGTCTTTCAGTTTGTATGTGGAGCAGCTCACAAAGTTTTCCACTGCTAATAATATCCTGGATGCTCATGATAATCCAACTCTTAATTAAGCAGAGGGTGAAAGTAAAAGGGTAATTAGCCAATACATCCGGAAAAGTATAAAACACCTAAGAATTTGCTTGCCCCTGCAAAAACAAAAGACACACCACTGTCAGACATCTTTGTATAAAATTGAGCAGCAGCACATCCCAAACCACTGGAGATTACTGAAAGCTTGGAAATGCTTTGGCTTAGAACAAGTAGTCAGATGTCCACTGAGTTTATTATGGCTTTAGAAAAGTGGTCCATCCATTGTAATTTTGGAGATTATCCAGAGACAGCATTATGGAGCAGGTTTATGTGTGGTTTATAAAGTGAGGGCATTCACAGTAAGTTGCTGACATTGCCAAATTTAACCTTAGACATAGCTTAACACAGCATTAGCCAAGGATTTGTCAGAATGTGACTTGAGCGAAGTCAGAGCTAACAATCACGAATCCATCTGCTGAAGTAAGTAAGTTACAATTCAGTAAGTTAAAAGCCCAAACAAATGTAGTTATAAAATACTACTAGTTACAAATTTACAAATTTAAGTAACTTTGGCAACAAAATTGTCCCCTTGTGAACATAGAACACGATAGTGCAAGAAAAGGAGTCATCTCAGCAAGTTATATCAACAAAACATAAAACGAGAAAACGCTAGCAGAAGGAAATGGCAGTCACTGCAAATTGTTGTGGAACAGCAACAGATTTAATGAAGAGTCAGGTGAGATCCATACAATAGGAAACACAAGGACATCCAATGAACATTCACAGGGCATCATGGTCTATGTAACATTGCGTGGAGCTCCATTGAACATGGAAGTTGACATGGGGCAGCAAAAGGCATGATTCCTGAATCCAGTTGGAGAAATCACACATAGGATTAAGAAGTTGCGGAAGAGGGAAAATCCCCATTAAGTGAAAGGTTCCAATCAGCTACAAGGCACAACGGGCAAAATTCCCCATTGTCACGTTGAAAGATCAAAAGCTAGCCTTGCTGAAAAGCATCTGGTTAAAATCACTGAAGTTAAACTGGAATGAGATATTCTGCACAGAAGCAAAACTTGCAATACAAGATGATACTATCACCAAGTAGCCTTGAGTGTTCATGACATTGTTCACCCAATTCAAGTATAAAAGACCAACATATAGGTTTAGAGGAATGCCAGACCAGTTTACTGAGACTTTGTCCAGTTTTGTATACTTCATGGGAGAAAATAGAGCAAGATCTGAAAATACTGGAGAAGGAGAACATTTTTGCAAAAGCTGAAAAGAGTAATTGGCTACTCCCAAAGTGGTACTAGTGTCAGATGATGTAGGGATTCGAAAACAACTGTAAATCAGCTGTTAGAATGTAATACACCGGGTAATTTACTAAATGCTGAGAATCTGTTCGCTACGGTGTCATGAGGTTAGATCTGTACAAATTTAAATCAAGCAAATGCTTATCTACAACTTAAGTTGGATGATGAGTCAAAATCATGAATACCCACAAGGGCCTAGTCCAGTTTCATAGGCTATCATTTGATGTTTCCCAACCCCATGAAATTTTCAAGGGGCAATGAGCACATCTTTCAAGGAATTCATGAAGTCATTGCTATTTGAATGACGAACTTGTTTTCGCTTCAAATAGGCAGATCCATAACGACAGCCTGAAGAAGCGTTTCCAAATTTGGCAATCTTATTGCATCCAATAAATGAACTCTGAAGGGAAGGTATCCCATTGTTTTGGACAAAGGAGAGTGACAAAATATTCAAGTCTTGTAGAAGTAAATTGGAAGATGGCACAATGCTTGTACATTACAAGTGTCCAAAAAGATTAGGTAGCATGAGATGCCTCTATATATGGAGTAGGTGCTGCGATCTCTCATGAGTTATAAAGTCTCCATAGTCCCAGAGGACCATAGTGCTGCTCTCTTATTAGAGAGTTACGTCTGGTGGTGCTTTAACCTGAGGGTCACTATGTCTCAGGCAAGGGAAAGGTTGAGAAGAATGGACCTTCATGATATTAAGGAGAGCTTAAATACATTTGTCTCACACAACCTCAGAATTAGTGAGCAAAACTGTGCTCAGATAATACATGAAACAATGTCTTTGGTTTTTTGGAATAGAAGATTTCATAAATACTTGTGTGATTGTATTGTCACAATCAGACCTAATCATAAGACAATGATAGCTATTTTTAAATACAAAGGTTCCAATATCAATTTTAGCTGCAGCCCAAACGCAGAAATGAGTTTTGATTTTGTACACTTATCCATACGATGATACGTACAGATAATTGTAATGCTGATGTAATATCTACATAATCATCCTCATCTGATGCAGAACCCATCTGGGATGGATGTATTTTTCTTTTCACATGTAGATGAGTTGTCAGTTACAACAGTTGACACTAGTAACACAGTCGACAGGGATCCTGTATTGTAAAGGTGTATGACTAGATCGGCCAGGGGTAACCAACACAGTTAAAAGACTTAGAAATCATGTCTTTTTTTTTCAATTTATAAAAATAAATTGTCAGTTCATGAAAGTTAAGTTACGTGAAAAACCAGAGTTGAAATTCAGGAAAGAAATCCCAGTTGCTTTATGATATTTATCAATGGTACATAGGGATGATTTTGACAAAGGGTCTAGTGAGAAGCTATTTTTGTTGGTCATTGATATATAAGGATATAGGAGACATGGTTAAATATTGTAAAGAATGCCAAGGTGTAAAAAAGAAGCCACCATTGGTATCAGTGCAAACATAGAAATGGAAGCTAGAGTCTAGCAGAAGCAGCATACTGTGTTTGCAAAGTTATTGAGGCAACAGCTAGTCATTGTGGTAAATAGCCAGTCAATGTGGGTTGAGGTGTTTCCAATAAATTGAATAACAACTAGCAATTTTGCTTTGTCTGATTGCTGCTTATGGGCTCCCAAAAGAAGTTGTGTCTGACAACAGACCTCAGCTTTGTTCAAAAGTTTTCAAATTTCATGAGAATTATTGGGATAATACACATCAGAATTTCACTGTGTTATCTCACTTGGAATGGAGTGGCAGAGCACACTGTACAAACTGATAAGTGTGTTCTTGTTTAGCAAATGCTTCATACGAGCTAGAAGAAATATCAGGTGTATTGAATCACAATCAGAGTGAAGAGTTTGATTTTTTTTCATAACACACCTCATAGAACTTCCAGTAGAACGTCAACAGAAGTGATTCATGGAAGACAGTCTAAAATAAGGTTTGCATTGCCAAATTCACATTTAGCACACACTTGTTTCAAATCCTGTAGTTCCATAATCCACACACATTAAACTATGGACAGTCCCATCTCTCAATGGCAAACCACCTGGTTGATTGAAAACAACCTTAACCTGGTAACAGACCTAAGCCAAGTGCCTAGAAAATCTAGGCAACTATCTATTGCAGTGCCACAAGGGAAGGACTAGGCTCTCAGATTAGCTGGATTGCTGTTGCAAAGGTCTGGCAATTGCTTATTATATTGAAAGGTCTCCTTCTGTGTTGTAATAATTTTATGATTTTAGGACAGCAGTAAAAATGGTCATAAAGTTATTGGATTATTATATAATCCCAACTGCTTTGCTAATGTCTTTAAGAAAGAAGCTATCGTGGCCTGGCTAATAT